GCTAGGCCAGAAGCTTGACGCCTTAAGTACAGCCGCAGACACACTTGGGCCAGAAATTCATGGCGAGTCCAGGAGCCAAACTCGATTTCATTGTATTTAAATTGAACCGCAGGACACGCGCAAATTCGCAGGAAAGTAGGCAATGCTTTTGTTAGCTGCTCTTCAATACAAGTTATTTGGTCTGAGATAATTTAAAAATAATATTGAGTCTTATAAGCATTATCGCTCAACTGCCTCGTGCCCCGACAAGCCGACATGAGCACAATGGGAAATATGAATGAAATGCTGTTAATGTTCATGTTGCGGCCAGCCAAAGAACATCCCGTTAATTACGCTCAACTGCCAATTATTTCAAAATGATGAGGTAATTAACTTTCACTCAATATAAAACTGCTTTATGGCTTTATGAAGCGGGGCCACTGTAGCAGCTGTGAATTAAAAATGCGCAAGCTAACTTTTCGCATTCAAATACTTTCGCCACCTCAGTTTGCGAAATTTGCGAGCACGTCAACTTGGCCAACTCAATGAAGTGTGCTCCGGCACCAACTCATTATGCGCTGCAAGTGTTGCCAATAAAGAAGAACATGACTTCATTCGAGAGCACCAGCAGCAGTGGCTGGAGCTGCCGAAGACTTAGTGTGTAACACTTTTAATAAACAAATAAAGTTTCAGCGTGGACTTGGCAGGCGACAGTAACCTAGAAACTGTGCACATAAATAGAAAGATGATGGACAGCAAGCCAAAAGGGGTATGATGTGGCTGTGGCAATAGCTCTGGCTGTGGCTGTGGAGAGCAGAAAATATTTTTCCACTTTTGGCTTGCACTGAAAATAGCATCAAAGCATTTATTACGGCTATTTGCAACAGCAGCTGCTAACGTGCCACTCACAGCCAGAAGTGTCTCGTCGTCATATGTGGACAGTAGCTAAGCTCTTTTATTTTCCAATTCTACTTGGTGGCAGGACCTTCGCAGCCATTGAGGCACATCAATTTCATTTGTCTAGCTGCTGTGAGCTTTTCCTTGGCCAGCGCAATTTCAAACACACACAGCAAAAGTGATACAAAACCTGTGGGAGCTGTCTGTCCGTGTGTGTGTGTGGTTATTCTATTGTTTGTTCTGCTTGTGACATGCTGCTGACATGTCATAAATTTTCGTTTGATTTTGTCCAAAAATTGTTTGGCTTCCTGAATGAAATTGTTGGTTTCCTGCTCCATTTGTTGGTTGCGGAATTGGCAAAAACAAATTTAATTAACCCGCAATTGTTGGGCCACAATGCGAGGTACAAACGAATCGCTGATATAGTTGTTGCCACTTGCCGACTAGTCCTTTGTGCCAGCTACATTCTCTGACAGCCCAACAATCTCAGCTGCCACAAAGCAATCGCACACGCAGCTTGCATAGCGCCCGCAGACGACAAAACTGGCAAAGCTGACAAAATGCAGCCGAACAAGACATTATGTCACACCCAGCTGGCAGAAGTTAAACTGAGGACTTGGCACAGTTTCATTGCGAAAAGCAGACACACACACACACACACGCACACGCTTTTACACTCGTAAATACTTGACTACTAGGGTGTGAAATTAAATTGGAAGCAGGTGAATTCTGTGCGTCTTTAAGAAATAATGGTGCTCGAGCATCCCTAATGCTCGGAGTTCTTTATTGCCTGTGCTCTAGAAGAAGCACGGGAAAATTTCATAGTAAATTATTTCAGAATTCCTGCCACAATTCGCAATTATTTTCATTTAATATTTGAAACTCAGATGCTACACATGAGACTGCAGAAATGTACAACTGGCATCAGTTTTGATTTCACTCGTAGTCTGCTCCAACAGCTTTAAGCACAATGACTTGCTCAATACATTAAAGTAGATAGTGAGCTAAGCCAACAAATCAGTGTCTGGTGAGGCAGCGAAAGTGCTTAGCAAACTCTTATATACAATGGCAAGAAATGTATTCAGCATACTGATCCTGTTAGTCGGCAAAAAAAATGTAAGTATATACATATAAAAATATCGGTAATCCCCCATAAATCTGTTACTAATGAAACAATTATGTGCGGCGATTAATGAGAGGCGGCGCCATAAACAAGTCGAGCGTCTGTGGAGCCACAAAGTGAACGACCAAAACGCTGGCAATGGGAAACGTGACGTGCATGGCAACACGGCGGATGAGTAATATGCATGAGGGAGGATGCTGCTCTTCTGCGAATCAATGGATGGTGGCACGACGAGGAGAGGAGGCAGGGGTGGGGCACTTCTGTCACTTCACCTGTCTGTTTTTAATAAATCGATATTTAATCGGGCCTCCATCGGGAGCGTCAATGTCACATCAATAATATTTCCACTCAATTGCTGACACATAAGCACAACAAGAGCTATGCATGGGACTGAGAGTCAATGCCAAACTAAATAGGGTTTGCACTCTGCGCTATTCTACTCCACGCCACGCATATTTCGACTTCAGCTGACCCCTCGGTCATTCCATGAACAATTAATTTTGGATTTTGGATAGGCTCGTGCGCAGGACGCGATGACAGGCAGCTGGGGCTATTGACAAATTGTATTATTCATGCATGTGACAGTGTCATCAGCATTGTCGTCAGCATGATTAGTTATGGCACTCACCTGAGCGGATCCTTGATGTGGATGTAACGGTCCATGGATATGGCGCACAGATTCAAAATGGATGCTGTCGAGCACATGACATCAAAGGCCACCCACGTATCACAAAACTCTGCGCCAAAGATCCAATAGCCTGTAATCAAAGAAGTAAACGGCAAATTATTGATTGATTAATTGATTGATTGGCACACGATTGACTAACTGTCGCACTGATTGCTTGTTTAAAATACTTAATGACTCCTTCAGCAAGACCGACTCACTGTACAAATGCAATTTAAGTGACTATGCATGAGCTGGAGCGGAAATTGCCACGTTCCGGCCGACAGGAGTCTCGGGCAAATTCTTAATTTTCTCGACAGCCAGCAGAGGCTGAAGGACCGCAGACCCATATACATGTCAAAGCTTCCCAGTCGAGCTGCTATAAATGGGCATGGTCAGCAAATGCAACTTGTTTGCGTATGGTAAGGAAATGTATATTTATTAATAATATTAAATGCCCGACAGCTTAAGCACCTTTTCTAGTTTTCGCAAAAGTTCTAGTTGACTGGCGGGAAAAAGGCTAAAAGTCTGTTCTGTCTTAAAGCCAACACAAATCGTTTTGCCTCATGTAATACAGTCCGCACGCAGTCGGCAACTGCCTCAAGTTGGAGTTGAAAACAATTTCGCAAACTCAATCAAGTGAAATCGCTCTCGACAAAGTTTATGGTATCTGGCTTTCGATCATGTTTTCATGGCTGCAGAGCTCTTGCTAACATGAGTGCTGTATTTACTTATTCATAACGCAAATTGGGTTTAAACGATTTCATAAATTAATTTCCGTTTCCTGTTTCGCTGCAGACATCAGGATTGCTGTCTGCGAAAGTGTGTCTCATATGTTATTTACATTTGATTTTTGCTGGCGATACAGCGATCCCTTTCTGATAGCATGGCCATAAATGCAGTGCAATTACGGAAAAGAACTCTGAAAAAAAAAAAAAGAAATCCCCAACCGGCAAAGTAATCTACGTGCTCTCAGCCAACAACCCGAGCGGATGTCCGGCGCTCTGTCCACTCAACGCTGAACGCTGAACGCTGAACGCGTGAAGGAAATCAGCATCGCACGCATAACATTTAAATGTTTAGCTATAATAAATTTAATATCAGTTCTCATAGCCCACACATACTCATCCAGCATGCGTGGGTGTGCGCTGACTTCATGACATTTAATGATACACATACGTCATGCTCATGCGTCCGCCTTGGCTTTTACGCCATGCTAGCCATGTCACAGGATACGGCTCTTTAGCGCACAGGATGCGGCGTATCAGCAAAAAGGGCTTAGCCCGTCTCAGGCGATTATCTGCCATCGCACAGTGCAGCACTGAATGCAAGCTATCGATTACGTAATTTCTTTCCCTATCTGCTTATGCCATCTGTGCCCATAACTCTGACTACAGTCATAAATCCGTGCTTACATTGTGAGACGACCCTCTGAACTTTTTAATTCATCTATAAATATTTTACTACAGATGAGTAAAACTCATTGCGAGCAACCGGAGCAACCGGAAATAAAAGTGTTCAAGTTTGTGAAAAACTATTGTTTCATGCTTTTATCAATTCATTAAACCAAAGCAGAAACCAAATTGGAATTATATTGCTAAAACATATATATATATTTTAAGATATATTGAATGGGCAATGATTTTCACACTTATTTATATACAGTCATGTTACTATACAGAGTTATATACTTGACAATTGCATTGTCAAGTCTTTTGCATTGCTCCCGGCTGCCTCGAGGCATCGTCAAGTTGCTCAAACCAGCCATATACAGTTATTTATAAATACTTATTGGTTATGCCCAATCCGCCATAGGAGTATATATAGAATATATATGCTCAATGACTTTGCGTGTGTATTTTTTGAGCTGGCGCAGCTGTTGCCACCTCGCCTCCCCGCCTCCCCGCCTCCTTGCCTGCCTGTGGCCCGTGTTGTTGCTCAAATTTGTATAAATATGCTGGCGCTTGTGCGTTTATTTGCTGATTTGCCAGCCTTGGAGCATGCCAAATGTTGTTTTACTGGCACCCACACAGGTTCATGTTTGCCGGCACTTTGTCGAAAATAATTTGACTCAACAGCTCTCAGTTCACATGTGTACCTCGGCATATATGCTGGCTGGCTGGCTGGCTGGCTGGCTGGCCCTCAGGCACCTCTGCTGGCACTCCAGATGCTGTTTGTCTTCGACACTCTGCAGCCAGAGTATTTTTATTTATTTTTTCACACTTTCTGCTTACGCAGCAGCAACAACACCGCCATCACTAGCAGGAGCCTCAAGAACGGCGCCTGGATTCGGAATCAAGCTCTGGATCCATCTCGAAGTAGCAAAGTCGTTTATTATTTTCACGCACAGGCAGACAAACGGAATGACAACCATACATCGAGCCCCGCATATGGAGAGGCGCGTTGAAGGCTGTGTGTCTCCCAGTTCCTGTATTTTCTGTTACCGAGGTAACGCATCACTAGTCCTCAGCACATTTCCTCCCACCAATGCCTGGCCAGCAGCTGCTTCCCATGTTTTACTTTTTTTCATATATAAATACATATATACTTGGTATTTCGCCCCACCCATTGGGTAAATACTGAGCAGGCATGGATGTCAGCTGCATGTGGGACTCCACTCCTACATAGGCAATTGTCGCTGCCGGCAAGTAGCAAGTCTTCAAAGTGATTCCTTTGATTTGCCTGTTATTTGCTTAGAATTTGTACTTTTAATTCCTAGCTGGCGTTGGTAATACTTTAATTTAGAGACTCTCGAATGGCCAACTGCAAGGCGGTCTAGTTATAGCCATGGCATCCCGACAGCTATACATTGATGGCCAATAATAACTCGTAATGACTGGGTTTATGGCAGCAGTTGCATTTTGTTTGCCGGCTGAGAGCAATGAAACTCGGCTTAGATATGAGCATACATAAAACAGGAATTCGTGTTGCCTGAGTTGTTTCGCCTCTTTGCCGAGTGAGAGTGCATTGTGCACTCAGAGCAGGACAGGCTAATGCTCGGTGTGCTCTGCGACCACTCAGCCGGCTCAGCAGAGCAGCTGACACTTTAAAAGGCATTGCACCAGGCCACACGAGGAGCCCGCTTTAAGCGCCGACAGGCATGTCAAGTGGGCTCCTCTGCCAGCCAGCTGACTGTGGTTCCATAAGCCCCATCGAAGATTCGCTTTTGCACGACAGCCTGCAGCATTTTACATAAATTTGTTGCTCGAGAACTTCAATTTCGAATTTTGTGCCCCACCACTGTCTGCGTATGATATTCCCACTTACCCAGCAAATCGTTGACGCCCGCAAATGTCATCACCAGAGAGGCCACGAACAGATCCGCAATCGCTAATGAGGCCAGAAACAGATTGCCAATGCGGCGCAGGCTGCGCTCCGTGTAGATGGCCAGGCAGACGAGAATATTGCCGGCGACCGAGAGGAATATCAGCACCGATAGAAAGACGCCTATGGGCGGGATAGAGAGTGGCGGATTAAACGTATATGCATTGGACGTAAGAAACGTGAACATTCATAAACATAGCATACTTATGAGGGGTCGAGCGTGTGCGTGTGCGTGTGCCTATGTGTGTGTATACATGTATACGTGTATACGTGTGTGCTTGTATTGTAAGCCACATGCGTTTCTGTGCACTAATTGAACAGCAAATATTTTGCTCGATACTGTGAAAAGTGGTGAGGTGTGGTACGATTGGTGCGGGTGGTGCGAGTGGTGCGGGTGGTGACGGTGCTGGTGTCTGTTTCGCTTGTTACACGTTCAACGACATTTACTTTACCAACAACTACAATTGACACAAGCGAGAGCTCTTCCGGTTCCTCACCCACTATTGTATCCATTTCGGAGGCGTTAGTCCAGCTCGTTTCATTGTAGTACGATGTCAGCTGCAACGATATCAAGATTAAATTTAAGTGACTTTTAGCGTAATCAAGATGGAGCCTTTAAGAGCACGCCGTATGCTCCAGATCTGCAAAGTGGCAACAGCTGCCAGCATCAGCATATTATCCTTTGTCTCTACTAAATTCTCCTCTAATTACGTGGCATTCAAGTTGCCACACAAAACACAGGGCGTCGCGAATTTTGAGGCATAACGAGAGCACGGCGCTGCGACAACTTTTAATTAACATCAAAGACTTTGACTTGCCCTCACGCTAAGCTAATTAAATATATAAATTCTGAATATGACACAAACTGCTGCAGAATGAAACATTTTGCACTAATTAAACTCCAGACTCTATTTCGCCAGAGTCCAATTTTCAATTACGTCGTGTTTGCCTTGACTCTGGCCCCAGCATTCAGCTCACATTCTTTGACAGCCCTAGCCCTGCGGTTTGTGGTCTGTGCTCCACATGTCCTGCTCCTGCCGTTGACTTGGCCCACACAGCAACTATCAATCATTTGGTACATGCGGTCGCCCAGGAGCGAATCACTTGGCCAGGGCCAAGGCAGCCGACACTAGGCGCACTAAACCGCATTATTCATAATTAAAATCGACAAACTTGAGCCTCTGCTCCATCACGCTTTAAATGATAGATGTCTGGTCTATTCTATAATCAATTTGTAACTATTGTAGTCCGCACAGATGCATCTCTGTCAGTGCGAATTGGCTTTGGGGTTTTGCGGCAAGTGGGCATGTAGACTCTACTCTCTGTGTGCTAGGCATTCGGGCAATGTATTTGCATGTTGGCATTTCAGTGGTTGGCTCATCATTGCCCCTCCCCTGGCTGCTGGCCTATGCTAGGCATGCATGCATGAATCTAATTCGATTTCAAACCAAAACTCAGAGACGATTCGATGTGAGTTCCTCTTTGACAACACAATATGAAATACCGAAAAAATGCAATTAAAACGTCAAGTCCCATCCTTGAGCGTAGTCCACTCGATGGCATTAATATGCATACCAGACAAGCGCTGTAAGTAATCATGATGGAGCAACCGACATGAGTATAGTATTTCATTAAAGGCACACTCACATTGCAATAATTTGCAGGGTAGACCAAGCAATGGCTAAGCTTAGTTTAAAAAGGAAAACTGGATCAAAAATAAATCTAAAATTTATATTCATATATTTATATATGTATAATAAATCTAGCAGAAGTTCAACCAAACGCTAATGGCAACTTGTTAATTGAAAAAGTTTTGCTTCTCGCAGCTGGCAGAGTATTCAAAGTTGTCTGCTCTCTCGCAGTCAATTTAGCGCATTGTTAGGCCCACGCGGCGTATGTGAAACATTTATTTGCCACAGAAATGGCTCATACACAAAACATAAGCGACGAAAATGCAAATGAGAATGAGCTAAAAGCCAGCCTCAAAACCGCTGACATATGCAATTAATTAATTTAAACATAAAAGCGCTGCTGCTGCAAAAGTATATTTAACTTGCTGCGGGTTGAGGGGCGAGCAGGTGACAAGGCCGGATGATGGGTGTTGTGCACCTGTAGATGGAGCGGCAGCCAGGTGGCTGGTTAACGTTTTTATTTTTATTTTTTTTTTTTTTTCAACTCTGTTCGTTGTTAATACATATTTTAAGCAGCTTAAAAGTTGCTAATTAGTTGAAAATCACACCATTTAATATATGATGCAATCGGCTTAGCCCAGATATTGAGGGAATTAGCGACAGTAGAAAGGTACCTCACACAGTTAAAGTAGCCATGATATACTTCTCCGAAGCTTTTTAATTAAATACAATACATAAAGAGCAATGTTTCACTCATTCCATTCAACCAACAAAGGCGTAGGATTAATGTTAAGAATATGATATATTTCAAATCAATAATGAATATCAAGTCATATTAAGCTCTGCTAAGTCTGTCCGTCAGAATGGTAAATTTAATTTCATTTGAATATTTCAAAAGCCTAATTTCAAATTCAATATTTGCGTAGACAATGTTTAAGTCAAGTGCATAATAAAATAATTACGTTTAAGTGAGTAATTGAGCAGCTCAGAGCGGGCTCAAAGGCATCTGAAGCGACGACATGAATGGCTTTTTCTGTGGATGGCCAAAATTGATTACCAGGCAATAATACAGCCAGCCAACTAAGTCGGCTAGCAATATAAAAGCTTTTATACATAATAATAAATGCTAATGGCTGAGATATTTAAGGATTACGCATGCATTTGCCATAAACTAAGTTAATTGGCGCTAACAGCTTCAGAGCTTCAATCCCTTGGCCATTAAACCGTCCTGTGCATCCAACATACAGACACTTGAGATTAAAAATGAAATACGATATAAATTCACTTTTCTGTTTCATGGGCTGACATATTCATTAAATGCGATTTTAAATGATGTCAGATATAACGGCACTGACAACGCACGAAACGGTTGTTATGAATGCTGCCACAAGTACGGGGAGTGGCACACCGTTATTTTTATGATCATTTTCATATCATATTGTATTTTTATATATTGACAGTCTTTTGAGATACGGAATCACATCATTTGTGGCTACTTGATGCTTCTTGCTTTTGTTGAAGATGAGAGTTACCAAACTTTTTGTTTGGAATAAAAAATTTCCTATATTTTAAAATTTTGTTTTTTATTCAAACTACATTAATTTTACATTTTTAGAGACTTTCTTCTCTAAAAATAATAATAAAAATAATAATAATAATAATAATAATAATAATAATTAAAATAATTTATATTTTGCAGTTTCGAAAAAGTTTAAATAGCAAAAATTTTCATTCCGAATAAAGACGACTTTAAGTCAATTAGAATTTAATACTACTTAACCTATATCTTAGTAAAATATTTTATTTTTCATGCCAGAGACACTCATAGACAAGCAGTGGAGAAGACTTTCTTCCCATTTCTTTTCTCTGTACCAGATGAAAATCCTACTCGCTATCAATGGCCCAAACATACTTTGGTTATTTACGCTGGACCGTATGTAGGGCTACATTTAATGTCATTGCATGTTGCTAATTAAATTTTCTAATTTGAACTATTTCACAATTGAAACAATTAGCAAGGGCAAGAGTCTAAGTTTCATAGACAACAGAGCGTTTTGTGAGTGAATGTGTAATAGAATTAGAAAAGT